ACACACACACACACACACACACACACACACACACACACACACACACAAAGCAAAACACTCATACACATAAAATAAATCTTAAAACAGCTTCTGATGCAGGTGAGATGCAAGGAGGGACAACCAAACAGTACTTACCTGAATTTTAAGTACATGTACATTCAATTCCTTAATTTTATTTCTAGGAATTTATTCTTTACTGCACCCCAACCTTCACCTCTGCTGTGGTTCCAGAGGCTCAGGTCAAGACCAATCCCCCACCACACAGCTTCAGAAGAAGCACAACAGAGCTGGGTGAAAATCCACTTTAATAATCCAGCTTCAGCTAAGCTGAGACCTCCTCTTCGGTCCCAGGGGCGAGAGAAGGCAGGTCGCCAAGAGGGCTCAGTCCACGAAGAGGTTGCGGCTCACAGAGGGGAACAGCTCAAAGAAACCCTGAAAAAGAGGCAATGGAACTGGGAGTTAGCAAGTGGCCAGATGACGGCGTCCGACCGCTCACCTCCCATCACCTTCAGTTCTAGGCTCAATTACTATAGCATCGAGGGTCTGTGCTTAATGTCTTCTCACCCCTCAGCCCCTTTCTAGACAACCTTTCTGAGGCCATGAAAATGAGGAATGATATGGCTTGTGTAAGTGTCCTTAAAGATCCATGTGTTAAAGGCTTGGTCACTAGCCTGTGGCATTATTGGGAGGTAGTGCAACTGTTAAGATGTGGGGCCTAGAGGGAAGAAGTTAGGTCACTCGGGATAAAGCAAACTTTTGAGGGGACACTGGATCCATTTCCCCCCACGACCCTCACTGACAATCTCAGGGGAGCAAATTCCTCTACCACATGTTTTTGCCATGACACTCTGCTTTATCACAGGGCTTAAATTAACAAGCCAACTGACCATGGAATAAAGCCTCTAAAACTGTGAGTCAAAACCCTGACTTCTTATAGACTGTTTATCTCGCTTATTTTGCAGAGTGATGGGATGCTGATCCAAAGAACATCATAGCAAACAGCCCCAGCAACAGGGCTAGCCACTTAATGATGGAGAGGAGGGTCTGGTGGGAGTTACCTTGAAAAGGGTGAGGCTCTGGAGAACTCCAGTGGTACAGGCTGTCTCCCGAATAGAGTGCATGGCCAGTTGGGGGCTACCTAAGTCCAGCACCCGAAGCCCCAGTCGAGAAGCCAAGATAGGTCCAATGGTGGTACCACAGGGGGAGTCGTTCCGGACCATGAGATCCTGAAGAGAGGAGGAGAGGCCATAAGCTAAACACCAGGTATGCCCATTAAGATCATGGAAGAAGCTACCTCAGGGACACAGGCTGGAAGATGTCTACGTCTTCAAGCATTTAAAAACACTGTTTTGTTACTCTCACACCCAACCTGAACCCGCAATACACAAAGAAAAACACTCAGCAGCTTTCAAGTTTTATAAAACACTGTTGAACTGGGGATGTGGTTCATTTGGTTGAATGCTTGCCTGGTATGAGTGAAGCCCTGGATTTGATCCCCTGCAGTGCACACTTGGGCATGGAGGTGCATACTTGCAATTCCAAGATTTGGGAAGTGGAGGGATCAGGAGTTGAAGGTATATTTTACTACACAGTGAGTTTGAAGTTGGCATGAGCTACATAAGATCCTACCTTAAAAAACAAGGAAATCATATGATGCTAGATTTTAAGATTTCTTTTTTGAAGTGTAAAACAGAACTATAAAATATAAGCCAACTTTTTATCAAATGGAAATTACAATATTAACTCATGATTTTTAAAAAGAAGTTTTTTTTCTAGTTGCCAAATCTAAAAAGGAAAATGAAAATATGAGGCTGAAATTTCTTACTGTGCCAAAAAACAAGGTAACTTTTAAGAGTCATGTCGCAGGGGATCTCTCTCTGGTCAAAGGCATGACAACTTGAGCATCACTCATAATAATTTTGTGAATGGCACTCAATCAATGAACATTCATAATTTGATAATAAAAAGTGAAAAGCAAAGAAACTAATTTACAATGACATTTAGGATAAAACTTCACCTTGAAAAAGGTTATTGAAGGGAAAGTGAGCAGTTATCTTGTTGTCTCATTAGGAATAATCTTTCAAAATTTTAAGTGTGTGTGTGTGTATGCGCGCATGTGCTGCGGCACGCGTCAGAGGACAACCTACAGGCATGAGTTCTCGTCTTCCACAATGTGGGTTCCACATATCAAACTCAGGTTGCCAGGCTTTGTGGCAGGTGATTTTACCCACTGGGCCATTTCACTGGCCCAAGAATCAACTTACGATAACTAATCAGCCTGGATGATGAGGGGCAGGTTCTACCTCACAGAATGGGAAGGTTGAAAGAATGGGTGGGGGGAGGTGTATCACTGAATTCTATTGCAATTGCTGATTAAGCAAGGATTATCAATTAGTGTTAAAAAAGGGGGCTCACTGCTTGTACAGCATCTGTCTAGTCAGCGTTTGAAAAGAGGTAACAAATGTATCCAGTGATTTAATTTTACAAAATTTAAAATTAGTGCACAGGAAGAATGTGAAGAACACATAAAACTCCAGTGATACTTTTCTTTTTTGGAGACATGGTCTCAACTATGTATCCCTGCCGGGTCTGGAACTCACTTTGTAGATCAGGCTCAGACTCACAGAGATCCGTCTGCCTCTGCCTCAGCAGTGGAGTGCTGAGACTAAAGGTGTGCATACCACTGCCTGAAAAGCCCTGTTCTTTAAGACAGAGTCTCGTGTAGCTCAGGCTGGCTTTGAACTTGCTATGTGGCTGAGGATGACCGTAATATTCTGATCCTCCTGTCCCCACTTTCCATGAACTAGGGTTACAAATGTGTGCTACCATACCTGGTTCAAATTTCACTTTTCCATTCCTATTTATCTTTTCTAATTTTCTAACGTATACATCCATGCTTCTGCTGTAAGCTATTAGGAAAAAGCATACAATATCCTCACATCTTAGAATATAAATGCTCTTCTAGGGCTCAGAAGCAAACTGGCCTGGTGAGCTTCCTCTCTTATCCTGCCTGCTCTCAGCCCTGCCTTCTCTCTTACTACCAGGCTAACTCATTCCCATTCCCCCCGTGGATCTTTCTGTCTGTTCCCTCTGGCTGAGATGTTCTTCCTCTGGACCTTCAACATCCTTCTTCTCAGTGGCTAGCTCTCACTTCCTCCCAGAGGCCTCTCTATGAGTAGAATGATCTGGCATTACATGGGGCAAGATGGAGACAAAGAAGCAAAAACAGCCCTTGTCTAGTCCTGCCTCCACCAGAACTTGTGTGCTGTCGTTACTGGAGCACCATGGGCCAAATTCCTGATGTAGGAATATTTATGTCCACACACAGTGTTGACAGGACAGTGATGGGTGATTTCATAGCCAGAGGAAAAGTGAACAGTTGGGGTTCTAGGCTCTCCAGTCCTCAATATTCCTTCTGGGTTGGGGTACAAGACACAGGGAAAATGGATGTTAGGAGGAAAACAGAAAGGACTAACTTAGGTGGCAAGAGTAAGCCTTACAAAAATCAGTAGTGCAGAGATCATTATCACCCACACTTTATAGATGGGGACACTAATACCCAGACAGCTTAGCAAACTAGGCTAAAGTCACCACAACAAAAGCAGCAATGTAGCTAGCTCAGCACCCAAAGCCCTGATCTCATTTACTGGGACTCCCTCCACTGAAGCCCACTCACTGTGCTACCTACTCATGGAGCACATCAGTTTATGTCTTCACCCTGCTCCCTACACCAAGCCTTTCGAGAAAAGATATACATTCACCTGCAGGGGCACCCCAACTTGGCTGGCCACCTCTCGAATCAGAGCCTCTGACACTGCATTAGAGGCATAGCGCTGCTTGCTGTTCACCTTGATCACAGGACCCTGGGAAAAGTCAAGGGGGAATAGAGATGACTTGTGACCCAGGGGGAACCACATCAGTCAGACTCAGCCAGGCCACCATATCCTTAAAAGCTTCTTTACCTTATGGAATAAGGGCCGGTGGTTTTCTTCATGCTTGTCCCTGTGGGAGGTGGGAAAGATCAGCACAGCACACTGTAGCGGAGGCCTGTCAACATCCACTCCCCTTCCAGGGCAGATAGTGCTAATGGGTTAGAGCTTTCTTTTCCACCCAATCCTGCAGGTCCTCAGGGCATTCAAAACAAACATTTAGGCAGATTCTAGCCACAAAAGGAAACAAGCTCTCTAACACACAGACCAGGCTTAGGCAACAAGTGACTTTCACTAAGTCTGGCCTATAACAATCAAAAGGAAGACCCCTGGAACCTCCCAGGAGATGGAGAAAGAGACAGGGTCAGGAATCAGCCTCTAATTGGGCTATGCCTGGGTCTCTAGCAGTGAGTACTGTCTGGTAGGAAGACTCACGCATAGTTTGGGTGCACAGCATGGGCCATGTCTGCACTGATCATGAAGGACTTAGGTATGGCTTCCTCGAAGGCGGTCAAACGCTGAGGTGTGGCTGAGATGCGCCGCAGTACCAGCTCCGTCAGCAGAGACTGTGCTCCTTGGGCACTTTCTGACCCCACCTGGGGATGGCAGAGGTTTTACTCTGGGAGTCAGGACACGGAGGTCAGTAAGAGGAGCCCAGTGTTGAGAAAGGCCCAGGATCCTCCCGAGTCACATGGTGGGATTGGTATCGTTGGAATCTTTCCTATGCCCACCCAGGTCAATACTGATCATCTGATGACAGTGGACTGGGGCCAATTCCCAGTCATTTACAGTCTAGAAATAGCACTCACTGGTGGAATTTCCACATTGGTCCCCACTACTTACATCTAGGGCTCAGCAGGTGCCACAGCACCCTAGGTTTTTTCCCTTGATGTATGTGACAGACAGTTAACTATCCATGATATCTTCATGGCAGAAGACCCAAGCCATAGTTGCACAACTAACTACCCAGCTAGAGCCATCATTCCAAGTCTTCTCTGTAGCTAAATGTGGTCACACTAAGTTCTGTGAATGGAAGTGATAATGAATTTCATTTCTGGACTATACTCTTGAAGACACAAGCATCTATTCTCTTTGCCCACACCCTTATTGCTCACTAGACGTAGACAAGATAATCAGAGATGGAACAGCCAAATACCCAGAATAACAGACCAAAGACCTATTCCAACTGCTAACTGCTCCTAGGGAATAACATGAGAGAGAACTAGCTATCTGTCAAGCTCCACGACAGCAGCTCGGGTTGCAGCCAAACACACAGCTGAGGACCCACTGTGTGCCAAGCTACAGACTCGAAAGGACGATCTGTGTAGTGCTCCTGTCCTTGGGGTAGGAAAGTAGCAAGGAGCACAGAGAAAAAGGGGTACGGAGTACAGTTAGAGCCAGAAGAGAACAACATGTGCCACAGAAGCACTGGCAGCTCTCCTGTCCCCATCTGCAGGGCCTCTAGAATGGCCCTGACTCACTCTGAGTGTCTTTGAGGTAGGTACTAAAGACTCCAGAGAGGGACCTCTGCCCAGAGCCCTCCACATACCTCTTCATTGTCGTAGAGTGTGATCATGCGCACATGTGGCTCCCTGGCCAGGGAGGAAGGGGATGCACAGGAATCAATCAAAGCCTGGATGGGGAAGGAGACAAGGTCATCATCCCTGCCCTTTGCTTCTTACAACTTAGTCTGCTAGTACCTGGGAATGGTATGCTGTCCTGCCAACGAAGAGGGCTGGTTGCTGTGGGAAAATGGTCTTGTACCCTGTAACTTACATTGTATTGCTTTAATAAAATGTTGACTGGCCAGTAGCCAGGCAGGAAGTATAGGCAGGGCAACCAGAACAGGAGATTTCTGGGAAGAGGAAAGAATCTGTAGTCAACACAGAAGAAGCAAGATGAGAATGATTTGCTGATAAAAAGTACCAAGCTACATGGCTAACACAGACAACAATTACGGGTTAATGTAGGATGTAAGAGTTAATAAGAAGCCTGAGGTAATGGGCCTAACAGTTTATGATTAATGTAGACCTCTGTGTCTTTCTTTGGGACTGAACAGCTGCACACCTCTGTCAACAGCTGGGCTTTCAGTAATGTTTCTCTTAGGCACTGCCTGGCAGTGGAGGACTTTTCTAATGGGATAAGAGATCCATTCACTGGGCACTTGGCTCCCATACCTTCCCTTGCAGAAGGCAGGACAAGGCTGAAGACAGAAAGAAGATGCAAATCCTGGGAAGAAGATTATGAAGACCATGCAAATTGACGGCTTCCATTAACAACAGCTCTAGAGATGGCCATGAACCTAGCAGACAGGGGCCCCAGGTTTACAGTAACTACCCAAAGCCCATCTTCAACCATAAGCTAGGCAGGGAAAGGCAAGCTAAAAGGCAGAGGAAGGGTAAAGAGTAGAAGGCTGAGAAATGGCCTGACTAGGGTAGAGAGGAGGTGGCCAACAAGAAGGTGAGCAGGAGGTACAGACTGTCCTATGAGGTCCCAAGGAACACAAAGAAAGCTGAGAGGAGACTTAAGTCAGAGGCAGACTGAGGGACGCAGAAGGATGTGAGAGATGCTGGTGTCCATGGTGGCAAGGACTTTCTTTTCAGGCGGAGGTTGTTAATCTAGGGAAAGGTAGCAGACTGGGGTAGGAGAAGACATCATGGCACACCTGCCAGCTTTCCCATACCTCAGCTCCTGGTCCCAGACCAGCACAGAAATAGTGATGCCAAGGCTGCAGCATTTGGACCATCTCTCACCACCTCCTGGGCTTGAGGTTAACCCCATCTCAGCTCTTAACTTCCCACCCCTCGTGGGTATGTGCTGCCTGGAGTGCTCTGGCTCCTCACCTGCAGGGCACAGAAGCAGCTATGCAGATTGTCCAGTCGAGGAGCAAAGATGAACTCTTCATAGGCTCCACCCAGGACCTAGAAAGACAGGACCAACACCCTGACCCAAGTGCCCAGGCCCCTCACCCATTTCACCCTGTTCCCAAGGGCCAGAGCAACTACTCCTGACTGTGGCTTAGGAAACTTCTTGTTGTTCAGCTAAGAATGAAGGCCAGGAAAGGATGACCTACAGCATCTACCAGTGGGGGCACACACCTTTAACACCAGCACTTGGGTGGCAGAGGCAGGCAGATCTCTGAGTTCGAGGCCAGCCTGGTCTACAGAGCAAGTTCCTGGATAGCCTGGGCTACACAGAGAAACCCTGTCTCGAAAAACAAAACAAAACAATACACTAAGTAAAAGAAAGAAACCAGCTAACACAAACTTAAGACAGAGGATCCAAAGATTTAGCAGTTCTCTCTACTTTAGCAGCTAAGAGGCATTAGACTTCTTGCTCTCAGAGGCTCAGAGCTAGCGTAGGTCAAAGCAGACAGGGACCACACACAGCAGAAACTGCAGGACCCACTTCACATCTCACAGATTCTGAGGATCCAACCCCCCTAAAAACGAGAGCTCCAAGGCTCAGATTTCTGCTTCTGCCCTTTTCCCTAGAGAAAGATCTGGATTCCTGGCTTTCTTCTCAAAGGTTCAGTCCTAGGACACGAGGACTTCTACCCAGTTCCGTCCATTGAGTTGCAGGATGCGAAAGGTCCGAAAGGTCCTCACATCCTAATCAAGTTCCCATAGGTGGGTCTTGGGGGGAAATGGTCTGCTTATCTGGGAACTACTGAAAGCAAAATCTCCAAGGAAGAACAAGAAGGAGACTAACAGAGGGGCTAAGTGCTTCAGGGGCTATGCTGTGGTTGGCTGGGACCCTGGCGGACCCCACCCACAGAACCCTAGAGCCACTCCTTACTGCAGGCTGAGTGTCTGCCAGGCACAGCTCCATCTCCACGATGTTCTCAGGACTCAGTCCCAGATGGGTACAGAGCAGGGACATGAGGACTGAGTGGTGCCGTTCATCCTGGAAGGCAGAAGATGCTAGAAGGAGGGTCTGCTCATCTCTTTCCCTTCCTAGGGGACTGGTCTGTTTCCACTCTGCCCACCCTCCTAGGAGCAAGGGAGCTTCTTACAGCGGTGCTGAGAGGTCCTGGCTCAGGAGTCCCTTTCTCCAGCTCTTCCTGAACTGCTGTGGCTAGAATAGGCACTCTGTGGGGAAATGGGTTGAGAGAAGGGAGTGAGGCAGCCATGAACTTAGGCCTTTCCTTGTCCTTCAATTTTCAGTCCACTCCCCCAAGTGTATAGAAACTAGATTCCAAAAGTAGAACTTGATTATGGCCATTAAGAGGTGGTCTTCCGGGTCCCAATAAGACCCATGTCATCTCATGCCATATCCCACCCCTCACAGCCCTTGGTACAGACTCACAGGTGCGTCTCTGTGTTGGGCCCAAAGCTCTCATTGATATTTCTCTGCAAGTGGATGGCCAGATGCGGGATGCGCAGAATGGGTCGCTCCACATGAACAAGCCTCTGCTCCAGGCGACCTGAGGTCGGGCACTGTGGCCAACAGGCCAGGTCAGAACTGGGCACCTCCGGAATCCAACTGAAAACCAAGCCCCCCCCCCTTCCCATGGGGACACTTCACGAGTACCCAGCTGCTGAAGTGAGAACCTCCCCAGTTCCTAGGCCCTCTATAGCACCTTGATAATGACTCGTCCAGCCAAGGTCAGGTCCCGGTCAAACCACGTGCTCCAGATCCCACCACCGTAGGTCTCCACACCAACCTGGTGGAAGCCCACCTGGCTTCGTTTAGATTTGCGTTTCACCTGAGCATGGAGATGAGAAGAAAACTCTGGATGACAACATCTGGAGGTGAGACTCAGGCGACTGTCAAGTTATACAGAGCAAACATCGCTTGGCTGACTGTGTAAAGTGTCTGTGAGGAGGGCAAAGGGCAGTCTGGCATCCTTCCTGCACCTGGGGATAGGGCGTTCCAAACTGCACCTTCTGAATCTCTTCATTCTACACTGCCCCCGCACCTCCCTTCAGGCCAGCAGAGCCCTAACTCCTTACCCGGAGACAGGGACTGTCCGTGTGAGCCCCAATGAGGCTGAAGCCATTGCCAGGAACATACTGGCCTCCCACAGCAAAAGCAATGATGGAAGAGGAGTTTCTGGTTAAGAAGTACTGGAGAGTGGAAAGACAGGGGTGTGAGTTGCTTAATCACGTGGAACACAGGAATTTGAAACAGCCTCAGCCTCCAAACAGTCCCAGTACCTTGTTTTCTGGTAAGATATCCCAGCCCTCTGTTTCCTTGAGTTCACGGAAGCCAGCCTGAAGAAGCCGGCTGCGGCACTCAGCCACGACTGTAGAGAAAAGGTTCTCTCATAGAGATGGAAGTTGGTCAGGTCACTCCCACTCCTAGCCTCCCTAACCCAGGACACCTACCGTGGAAAGGAGACGGACTCCGGTTCACGAACTTGAGAAGCTCCCTGGCTGTGGCCTGGATTGCCTCTTTCCGGGCCCTGCCGTTCATGGCCACCTACGGGAGGAAGGGGCGCTCAAGCCTGGGACCACGCTTTTCACCCGAGCTCCGAGTGTCCAAAGCCCCCAGAAATGAGAGCTCCGAGGATCGGTTCTCTGCTTCCGCCGCCCCTTTCCTAGAGACAGGTCCGGATTCCCGGCTCGACCGCTCACTCGGTGCTCAAAGGTTCAGCCCCAGGGCTTCAGGACCGCCACCCAGTTCCGCCCCTCGGGCTGCAAGATCCAAAAGGTCCGCCCCCTAAACCCTACCCCACGCCCCGCCCCGCCAGGAAACCCCGATTCGAACTGAAACTCCAGCTCCGGAGCGGCCTTCAACTTTGAAAACGCCACTAGCCGGCGCGCCACCATCTCCGGAACCAAGCACTGCTTCACCTGTCCTCCCACCAAGTCAGTCATCGGACACCCTTTCCGGCCCCGGGAAGGTCAGGTCGCCGCAGAGGGATTTCAATTTGGCTTTGAAACCAGAGTACGCCCGGCTCCGCGCTGCGTTAAGCTTAGCTCCGCAAGGGCACGCGGCCGGCGGTCGAGCTGGCGGCGGCCACCCACCTGCATCGCCCCACCACTTTCTTCTTGAGGGGTCGGCCTTCGGCCCGCCCCTGCCTCTCCGCTCCTCCCTCCCCAATCAGGCCTCGCCCTCGTCGAGCTGCGTGCTCCGCCTCTCGCCAGGCCGCACCGGGTCTCCGCCTCTACCAGGCCTCGCCCCGCCCCCGCGGCTCCGCGAGCTCCGCCCCTGTCAGGCCGCGGTCGGGGTCCGCCCAGTTCCCGTCAGGCCTCGTTCTAACCACGGGGACGGCTCCGCTCCAGTCAGACCGCGCCCCGCCCGCGCTACTCCGCGAGCTCCGCCCCTGTCAGGACGCATTCCGGTTCCGCTCCCGCCTCTCGTGCCGCCTTCCCCAATCAGGCCGCCTTCTAACCACGTGGACTACCTAACTCCAGTCATGCCGCGCCCCGCCCCCAAGGCGCCACTAGCTCCGCCCCGTCAGGCCTACGCCGTCTAGGCCCTGCCCCCACTGCTCCTCTAGCTCCGCCCCGTCAGGACTGCCTTGACAGGCTCCGCCCCTACCAGGCTTCTAGTCCCGCCCCCATAGGGCGGAGTCTTACTGGCGCTGACTGCTCCGCCGTTCCCTTTGTCAGCAGCATTGAAGCTCATAGCGCATCCTAGACAGCGCCGCCCACTGCAGCAGCAGAGCCCTCTAGCACCCCGGCGGTGTTAGCACAGCCGTTGACCTGTGGGACCCTGAGGTATAATAAAGAGGGCTCCCCACAACCACCCCTATAATAGGAGCAGCATGATTATTAATGTTCACAGGGCACCGTGAACTTCTGCTATGATAAACGTGTTGCGGCGTCAAATTCTCACAGTTTTCTTATCCGTGTGATTTTACTGTCAGTCTTTTATAGATGAACTAACAGAATGAGATTACCCGTCCCTAGATACAAATGGCACAGCTGGGTTTTGGACTCCATGAATTTATTTGCAGAAGCCTGGAACAACTGCTACCAGCTCCATAGGTCTTTTCTATCGTTCTTGATTAAATGTTATGCTGTTCTGTAGGTCTCTGAGGGACACAGAAGTCAGTGACCTAGTCACGATCACATGGCTGTTTAGGTGGCCCGGGGATTTGATTTTGATATCCATGCTTTTTTTTCTTGCTTTTAGGCAGGGTCTCATTCTAGTTCAGGCTGTTCTGGAACTCACTATGTACTCCAGGCTGGCCTCAAATCCATTGCAATCCTGCCTAAACCTCCTAATTGTTGGGATTATAGGCACGAGCTACCACTACCAGCTGTTTCTACTTCTTAAAATGATAGGAAAGAAAAAAAAACAGATTCCATATATTTATGGAGGCAGTTCCAATATTTTATTTCCCAGTCAACGGTGTTGTGTAGCATTCTTAAAACTCAAATATCTGCTTAGCTGCAGCGATGGAGCAGGACTCCTAGTGGCTCCGAGGTGAGAAGCCCAGCCCAACTACTAAGGACTACTAAGAATCTTTCCAGGTATCAGTATGGCAATTTCTCAGAAAATTAGGAAACAACCTTCCTCAGGACCCAATAATACCACTTTTGGGTATATATCCAAAAGATGCTCAATCATGCCACAAGAACATGTGCTCAATTATGTTCACAGCAGCTTTGTTTGCCATAGCCAGAACCTGGAAACAACGTAAATGCCCCTCGACCGAAGAATGGATAAGGAAAATGTGGTACATGTACACGATGGAGTACTACACAGCTGAAAAAAATAACAACAACTTGCAGGCAAATGGATGAAGCGAGAAGATATCATATTGAGTGAGGTGACCCAGACCCAGAAAGACAATTATCACATGTACTCACTCATAAGTAGTTTTTAAACATAAAGCAAAGAAAACCTGCCTACAAATCACAATCCCAGAGAACTTAGACAACAATGAGGACTCTAAGAGAGACATTCATCATAGATCCATATGGATTTAATCTACATGGGAAGTAGAAAAAGACAAGATCTCTTGAGTACAGCATGGGAACCCTGGGAGAGAGTTGAAGGAGAGGGAAGAGCCAGGAAGGGGAGCAGAGAAAAATGTAGAGTTCAATAAAATAAAAAAAAAAATGTAGAGCTCAATAAAATCAATTTAAAAAAAGAATCTTTCCAGGGTCTCTGGGGGCATCTGCCACTTATTTACTAGGGATGGGAATGATCAGGGATTGGGAAAGATTCCGGAAGCCTCCTTCCACCTTCACTGCAGACTGGGTAGTGTCAAGATTCATTCAGTGGGTGACAGGCTATATCTCTGTAATACCTCCACTGTTCTTTGGATATCATTGGGCCCCTACTGACTTGCACAATTACTATCTGTTAATAATTATAGAAGTAGCATTATGTATGAAGACCAGTGCTGAGTGGGACATGAGAAAGAAGCTCTCGTCTTTTCTCTAAGAGTCTGGTCCCTTGAGGAAGGGAATACATCCTAAGCTGCTGAGAGCTGAAACAGGATATAGTCTGTTCTCCATCTTAATTCTGCATCCTTGGATCCCTAATCCAAGTATTTGGGGGTGAGTCCTGTATATTAGTCAAGCAGAAATGGTATAAATATATAAATGTATATATGTTTTTCGAGACAGGGTTTCTCTGTGTAGCTTTAGAGCCTGTTCTGGAACTAGCTGTTGTAGACTAGGCTGGCCTCGAACTCCCAGAGATCCGCCTACCTCTGCCTCCCGAGTGATGGGATTAAAGGCGTGTGCCACCACCGCCTGGCTTCAAAATATATTTATAAGAACAAGAAATACTATCAAGCTGCTAGGCATGAACACATGAAAGACCATATCCCATATCACCCAAGGAAATGCAAGCTTGAAATAATGTGCCATTTTTAATTGGTAAGATTAGCAAAAACAGAAATGGTTGGCAATAGTAAGCATTGGAAAAGGCTTGGGGGTAATACTTGTCTTTATATTCAATGTTCTACAAAGTAAATATTACATATGGCCGCTTTCAAGCTGTGAACATGATGTCACTGAACACAGAGTTAGGAAGAAGTGTGCAGAAATAAGCCACTGTGTGTGTTTCTGCCAGACAGATGCATTGGACATAAATAACCTCTACAGGAGAAATTTTAAAATGCAATAAAATAGTTGAAAACTGATGGTTTTAAATTTTTATTATCTCTGCAATATAATTTGTATAATTATACATCTATATACAATAATGTTTTAACGACTGCCGCATTTAACAACAGGATCATCAAATTCTTAGGAATTTGACAGTCATTTCTCATGAACTGGTCTAGCTCACTGCTCCACCCACAGTCACCATTTTGCTACGAAAAGTACTGTCATAAAACACCAGATTGGGCCACAAGGTCAGGATGTTTCTAGACTAGGAGCCCCTTCTGGCTAGACCAAGCTAAAATTGCTGGGGCTTGAGAGATTCTCACACCAGGAACAGAGTAAGGCAGGAGGGGCTGGTTTCCAAGGAAAAGCTTTGTCTCATCGAATGCTCTCAGTGAGTCCCCAGCGTCCTAGAAGTCAACAAGAGCTTGGCACTCTCGTTCTCTTGAAATCTTGAAAAGGAAACCCTGGAAGCTTCCAGTTTCGCTTGCTCCGAGTTAACCTACAAATCCCTAATTTGGGAGCTCAGGCAGCTGAGCTGTACTGCCTTTCCCACCAGCTTTGCTGTGACGCCTCTGACTTAGGGCTGTGACAACTGTTGCTCAGGTTCCTTTGCAAAACCTCGAAGCCACTTTTGCTGAAAACATGGACTCTTCACGTGAGCCTCAGAGCTCGGCTACGTGACTTAAACGGGACAGAAGTGTTGGCATGTCTTTCATGTTGTGTCTGTCCTGTTGTGTTTGAAACCTTAGGTCAGATTTGGTGACCTGAGTTCCATCCTGGAGCCTCTAAGATGGGAGGAGAAGACTGAGTCCTGGAAATTGTCATCTGTCCTCATGTTTGCCATGCATGAACAATTCCATACTCACACACATACACAAGTCCCCCCCCCCTCTCACACACACATACACAAGTCTATCTCTCTCTCTCCTTCTCTCTCTCCTCCTCTCTCTTTCACACACACACATACACATGTCTATCTCTTTCTCTCTCTGTCTCTGTCTCCCTCTCTCTCTCACACACACCACACACGCACACACACACACACACACACACAAGTCTCTCTCTCTCTCCGTCTCTCTTTCTCTCTCTCACACACACACAAGTGTCTCTCTCTGTCTTTCTCTCTGTCTCTCTCTGTCTCTTGTCTCTCTCTCTCTTTCACACACACACACACACACACACACACACACACACAAGTCTATCTCTCTCTCTCTCTCCGTCTCTCTCTCCTCCTCTCTCTTTCTCTCTCACACACACAAGTCTCTGTCTGTCTCTCTGTCTGTCTCTGTCTGTCTCTCTCTCACACACACACACACAAGTCTCTCTCTGTCTGTCTCTCTGTCTATCTCTGTCTCTCTCTCTCTCACACACACACAAACTTTAAAGTTGTCTAAGACTAAAATACAGGATTAGCTCAGGCTGCTGCCATTAGAGCATCCTGACCTTGTCCTCCCCGCACGGCTCAAGCACCTGTACTTCCTCAGTCTTATCAGAAGGTTCAGACCAAATCCCAGGGTCAGGACGTTTATGTGACAATGAGTAAGTCAGTGATTCCCGGGTTGTCACCACAGATTAGCCTGCAAGCCACAAGGCCAGAATGTGTGTGCCCAAGGAGGAAAAGATCTTTTGAAACCTTTCCCATGACCAATGGGCAATTACTAAACCTTAATCCATCCCAGAAAATCAATGAAAGTTTGCTGCTTGCTTCTGTTCAGCGAACAGCAGCCTGATGTCCCTTTCGATCACTGTTCCATATGTTCCTTTGGCTCACACTGAAGTTGGCTGACTCAGTCTGAAATTACAATAAAGATACCTTGCTTGCCTGTCTTGACCATAATATGTGATTTGGTATCCCTCTATCCCTCATTTTTGAGACAGGGTATCACCAAGAAACCAAGGCTGCTCTTGGGTTCATATGTAAACCATGCTAGCTTCCAACTCACAGTGATCCCCCTGCCTCAGCCTCCCCAGTCCTGGGATTATAAGACTTGGTCCCATTTCTACTGTTTCTGTTCCATAGGACCTCCACCATCTGGTATCAAGTTGACCCACATGATCAGTATCTGGGAAGTTTCTAGAAATGGAGAAAATCAGAGCTTACCACCAGACCCAAGATGTTACTAGTTTATTTTATTTTTAGATCCGGGACTAACCCCGAGTTGTCACAAATACTAGATGAGCACACTCCACCACTGAGCTCACTCCCAGCCATATTTTACTGTTGTTGTTGAGGCAGTGT